AAATGATTGCTCCATGTTGGCTGTATATCCTGTTCGAACTAGATGGTCTAAGATGGAGCTGTTAACAGTTTTGACAACACCTTTGTTTAACCACACGGGTAGGTACTCACGGGCCTGAATGTACAAATTCCTAGAACATCTGCCAATATAACTTGCTCCACAGAAGCAGTTGAATCGATAGATGCAGAAGAAGTTGGCTAGTCTAGGTAATTTATCTTTCAACCCCGGAGTGATTATTGGTCATATGGAGAATACTAGTTCTAGTTTAGTTGCATTAAAAGTCCTTTGGATTGATCTGCTTAACTTAGATCTTAGAATTTCGCTCGGTGCGTCGCCTCTGAATTGTAAGCGTATATATAGACGCTGTATATTTACCGTTAGACATTCTCTACGATGTCGTTTATTAGCTACATAAATTTTTCAGGATGTCCATTTTCCTTCAGGGTTTTGAATATTGCCTTAGTTTCATCGTCAACCGTATCCACAGTGCATATAGTCTTGATTCTATGACGTAGTGTCTTAATAAGGTTCTCTTTTTGTTGTAGAGGAACGAAACTAAGAAAGTTAGTATATTGACCCGTCCAGGTAATTTTCCTGTTTATGTTTCTTTTTAGCGACCCGTCCTTTCTCGTTGTAAGTAGAACATCTAGAAAGGCTATCCTACCCCCATTTTCCTTCTCCCATGTGATTTTTATGAACGGGTGAACAGTATTGAATCGATCAAATGTTTCTAGGACGTCCGTCTCGTTGTTGCAAAGGATAAATGTATCATCCATATATCGACAGTAAAACGAAAACTTATCGATCTCTTGTGCTAGTGGGCCGCTTCCCAGTTTAGAAAGGAAAATGTCTGCTAATATGGGACCCAGGGGTGAACCCAACGCGACACCATCTATTTGTCCGTAGATTTTACCAATGAATTTGAAATGTACATTCATAGTGCATTTTAGTAATAATTCTTTGATGATCTCCACAATGATTGTCGTTTCCAGTTCCTGTTCTCTAAATTGTTCACATGTATATTCTACAGTTTCTCTTAGTGGGACATTTGTGAACAGTGATGCTACGTCAAAGGACATCATCGTCTGATCTTTCGTGTTTATGTTTTCAATCTTGTCAACGAATTGGAATACATCATTAACACTATGTTTCACCAGACGATAATGGAATGGTTTCGAAACGGTTACTAACCACTTTGCTACAGTATGATATGGGGAATCGTACATGTCCGAAATTGACCTTAATGGGATATCCGATTTATGTATCTTTGGCAGTCTGTATAACCGAGGTAAATGCGTACCTATCGGCTTAATTATTTCGTATACGTCTGTTGGAATAATCTGTTGGTCTTAAAGATCTGGTCAGTTCATTCTCTATCTGATTATTGACATCTTCTTGGTTATTCAGTTTCTGAAATTTCTGAATATCATTCAAGATGTTATTTATCTTGTCAATGTAATCTTTTTTGTTAAGTAAGACAGTTCTTGTTCCTTTGTCGGGTTTTGTGATAATCAGTTTCTCGTCACTAATGAGTTCATTGATAGCTTCCCTGTGTTTCTTAGTTAAAATACCTCTGCAGTTATATCTACTATTCTTAAACTGATAGCAGCAGTCAACTAGGTTTGATTTGAAACTTAAAGTTCCTGATCAGAGGTCGGGACTGGATCTGATATCTGACGATTTAGGTTTTCAAATTGGATGTCCGTATCGATTTGATTTACGCGGTTTTGTGTATCACAGAATTTTAGAACAAGTGCTAGTACGTCAAGTTTTTCTTTATCTAATTCAGTACTGGGAAAATTATGCACATCCCTTTTTCGATCAGTCGGAAATTTCTTTTCAACTGGTTGATTTTCTAGGCTTTTGAGAAGTTGGATATGTTTCTTGTTTGAACGATCTTTAGTTATTTTTGTGACATACTCCATGAACTGGGACTTAAGGTTTTCTGTTAATTCATCAACTGCAAGATCAAGATCAATATTTAATCTGGTTATTATGGTTACTTCTATTATGCGTATGATCTAGATTGTTTCTGTTGAATAAATCATATACATTTGTAGATGTTTCAATATGAAATGCAACAGAACAGCTTGATCAGATTTACACATTCTGCAAGTGAATAATAACAAGCTGGTCAAGCGATTTGTTGACCATTCTCTTAACCATGGTGAAGGACCTAATGCGTACTGTGTTAAATAGGAAAAGCAAAATGAGAGAAAATGTCACAAACTATCACTGCTGATTACAATTTGCACAAAAACCCTTTTGTGAAATGTTTATGAATTTGATTAAAAAGAAATAAATATTCACACGTTATTATTATGCGTCAGTCAGTATGGTTCAGTATATTAGAGAAGTCGTCAAGAGAATGAACAGTCATTTTAATATTGATGTTCATACAGAGAATCGAATTCATTACATTATCACTTCAAACATCGACGCGTTATTCACTGAAATGGGGAATCAAAATATCCACCACTTTATCCAACGGATAATGATTTGCTTTTTCCAGTTTGATGATATTGACGACTCCAAGTGATCAGTCTTGCATATTCACATAAATATTCACTTGAATATTAGAATAGTTGTCAGGAGAATGAATAATCACCTTAAGTGTGTATCAGCAAAGATGGATAATGGCTAGCAACGGAATCTATGATGACCTTTTCGTTTAATTTGGTACACGTCATCTGAACATACCGGCATCTCGAAATTGATATTCACTCTCGCACTTGAACACAGTGCTGTTCACGATGTAGAATGTAGAATATTGGAATGAACAATCTGTAGTTCCCTTACTTCAAGAAAAGATCACAGTGGGTTAGAAGGAGGAGATCAAGTAAAGAATGAGGCAAAATAAGCAAAATATTTGAGAGAGGAGATCATCGTTTCACTTCATAGAAATAGAGCAGGAACAGTATCAATGTATAAGAATGAGATAGTTGCACTGCAAGTCATTAGACGGTGTCCCTTTTCATTCTTTTCTCATTCAGCCGAGTTGAAATTGTTACATGTGGTTACTTAGTGATTTAGTTATGAAACACTTTTACTAATGAAACGGTTTCTGTGGTCTTTATAAACGACTGTAACTGGAGATACGAGATTTGGTAATGAGAATTGAATTTCTAAGTGGAAATTGAATAGAAATGGGAGTATCGAATTGTTCAAAGACAGAACACATTTATCGGTAACAGTTGAATATCATATTCAAGTTGTATATTTGAATGAAGTTTATAATTAGCTAACATCATTGAGTGACATTCAGTTAAACTAACATTGACACGTATTAGGTGTTGAATAGATGTTTCGTAGTGGTGTGGAACTATAAACGAGTGAACAACTAATTTTATTTTCAGTGATTAATATTCCTAAATTCACTCAATAGATGGTATTATAAAGTTGTCTTTCATTGCGATCGGTGATCATTGTCAGGATGATAATTGCTCACTACTGACCAGTTGCATACTTGGATGAAATGACAGTCCAATGCCTATAGGTTTTCAGTGGTTGTTGAACTACTAAGATTTCTTCATATTTACGTTCTTTTTCCTATTGATGAACTGTAGTGTATCTTACTTTTATTTTATTATGGCCTTGGCCTATCTAAATTTTTCTTCCCATTTGAAGGTGCGGCCGAGATACCGAAAGAATCCATTTGAAGGAATACAACTGATCAAGTCAGAGTCAATGGAAATACTGATCACAGAAAGTCTTCGAATAATCTTTAATTGAAAGTAAAACCAGAAGGCTTCTCGCCCATAAATATTAAGAGAACAGTAACGTGGAACATGGGTTTTACCAACTACCACTTTTGATCGCCATCAACTATTGCAAAACATAAAATCAATTCTCTCGTTTTTCGTCTTAGATGAATATGAATGAAGAACACAACATTTAGTAAATACTGAAGGACCATCTCGTTCGTCCAGATGTAATGACAGTACTCTAAAACCAGAATATCAAACGGAGCGAACGTCTGACTTTCCAAGGAAGACTGCATTCATCAAGTTTCAGTGTAAACTAGAAACATTTCCATAGATTCTCAAAAACCAAATGTATCGATCATGAAGCGAAACTGTTCGAATTGTTTTTTTGTTTTGTTTATAGACTGGTACATTTCTTGACAACAAAGCTTTGTGTGAAACTTCATTTCTTGAAGGAGCCTTACTTCAGTTTGTGATTCGTCTTTACTTATTTATAAACCATTTCAATACACATTACCATGTTCTTCATTGTGTGATTGAATTATTGAAGTATACATTATGTAAATCTAATGTAGAGTAAAGGAATTCCTCCACAAATGAATCACGACACGATTCTGATTGTTTAGAATACTTAAAATGATTTAATTTAATTTTAACCTGGTTAAAATGATCGCTTGTAAGTTTGGTGAAATTCATATTTACAACCTCTACTCTCTCCCTTTCTATCTTTTCCTGCTGGTTCAATCCATCTTTGCTAACAATATGTCTGTTAACATTGATTACTGTACATGCTGAACGATCAATCACTTACCTTAATATTCTAGAAATTTACTCAAACTATCAAATCAATCGGTTAGCGGAGGATGAGTTGAAACTACTTCAAAACAATATTCCGTATAGAAATATGTTTTCGGATATAAGACACTTTTATAAGTTGAACTGATCAACCGTGTGAATGAAACCAGATGAAATTCGGAATAACAATCCATGAGACTAGAATACCCGACAGTGACAAGTGATTTGAATTATTTGTGTGAATGAATTTATTGACCGTTTTAAATACTTGTCTTATAGTAAAGTTCTTTTAGGACAACATCGTTACAGGTAAGTGATTCAACGATACATATCTTATTTTCTTATAAATGTTTTCATAATACACAAAGTCTTGTTGAGTTCAGTGGTTTAAATTTTCCGTACTACTATCGGGATAACTTTGTGAAATGCATACATACCTTCAAACTACTTTAAAACTTGAAAGTAGTCCAACGATATAACAAACATTTATTTACATCTTAGATGGTGGTTGGAGGTAGTCAACAGGAAACCCAGGACCCGGGTTTCGTGCTACTTGGCACTCGTCAGCAAGGTGTACCTGTAATCTTGAGGGAACTGGTGCTCCCTGGCGGATTCGATCTCGTGTCACCCAGCTTCACAGTCAGAGACGTTACCACTGGCTCGGATAGCTCAGTTCTTTATGGTGTATTCCCATTTTTGGAATCCTACAGATTTAGTTGTATAACTATTCATATAATTACTTATGTGGTGTATGCTACTGATGTTGGCAGATATAAGCAGTATGTATCATCAATAAAATGTGAAATGCCTAGTGGCAGAAGGCTAAGAATTTTCGAAAAGAAGAGAGTTTGGACAGAGAATGCATAGTGTAAAGATAGTGATGATGATGCTTTGGAAGATGATGATGATGCGCACTGATGAGAAATCCCACATTAGAGCGAATCTGCCATCCAATGCTTCGAGGTTTTCCATGGTGGTCTAGCTTCAACTGACTCATCATCTCAACTATTGAAAATACTATATTATGTACAAAAACCCTTCTGCTTGATGTAATAGATTATCTATAGTTTGATAAATGAATTGCTATGAATACAGTTTAGTAGCTTTATGCTGACTCCACATCTGAAGCAAGTTTCTTCGGTTCTGATTGCCATTAAGGTATATATATATATCACTAATCCTCGTATACAATCATCGACTTAAATCACGTTGTTGAATAAGTGCGTTAAATTGGTCAAATACGAGAATGGATTTCGAAAACTCAGTAACGTTAAATGGTAGGTGGTTTCCATAATTTACCTTTCAATCACCTCAGAGGATAAATGAAATTCTACTTTGATTATGATCAATAAATTTCAGTATGGTATAAAACTGATCATAATAGCTTACAAAGGACTTTAAACTCGATCTCTTCGTGTCACAGGTCTACTGTTTTGACTTTTTAACTGATCTCAAACTGATGAGATAATAGATCTTGGAGTTGAGCGCAAAACTCATTTATCCATTTGGCTAAATAGCGTTTTTGGCATTGTAGCTCATGTCATTTCGTGATGAAAACCCCCTTCATCTAATTCCTTAACTTACTCATCAACTGTAAATCATAATCTTTGTTCTTCACATTGGTTTATAACCCTCATTCTGAAGGTGACATTAACGTCGCTCAAATGTTTTCAGACATTATAGTTTCATCGTGTCGTACTCACTACCAGTATTCATTCTTTCAATCACATTACATACTAACGTATAGTTCTCGTTATACATTAGATTGAAAGCTGTAGTCGTTACTGAATGCATGTTACTTGTTCCACTGATTAGCAGTACACGATAAAGAACACAGTTATGCCTAAACAAGAATCTCCAATGGAAATCACATTCATTTAAGTAGTATTGACATATAAATGAACAAGAAATTTGATTATAAATACTGAATAGCACTACAATCTTTACAAAACCCTCCTTCTGATTATATTAGCTAATTAAACTAGAGGCTGGACAAGTATTTTGAAGACCCATTGTGACATATAGTTATCCTTTATTACATCATGAATGCTCACTGCTTACAAGTCTCATACTAAGACAATACCGTGGTTCAATGATTTTTGATTTTCAATGCGCAGAAATTGAAAATGTGTCCAGAATGACAATCTACTTCTTCGGAGAATATCTATTGAGGAAAAGAAAGAAAACAAAAAAAGAGAGAAAAATAATGAAAACTGTTATGACATTGACGTCTGACTTTTCTATCAAATGAATTATCTACCGATCCGAATACGACTTATACGAATCTTCACACTATGCCAACCAATGACGTTCAACTAGTGTGGGCAGTCTAGCGCCTTATTGGTCCTAGGTCCTTCTAGCCCGTTTGTTTGAGTACAAAACACATTACCAGCTTCCGCAACATGAATCGAATCGTTTATTTCAGACATACTCGGTTTATATATCAATCAGACAGACCGCAACGTACCATAAAATAGAAAATAACATGTGTACATAAATATGTCAAAAAGTGGCTGTGAACGAGGGGGACAGTAATTAATAAACTGAGTATAGCTTAAGAACCGTAAGTCGTACAATAATATAGTATAAGTCAAAATAAAGCTTATAACAAGGGGAATATAAATATACCTAATCTAATGATTGAATAGTTATACAATAAGAATATTTATAGAATATTAGTCCATTAATAGTCCTCGGAAGTTACCTGTAATTTAATCTTCACCGGAATATAACACCCCATTGTTTAGCTTATCTCTAAGAGGAACAAATTTGGATCAATTATCTTCGTATAACGTGTAGATATTAATTTTCTTATCGATAATGAAAATAAAGAAAAAAATGAGAAAAAAATAGAGAAAAATCAATCAATATAATCAATGATGTTTTTCTTTTAAGATCCTTCTTTTAATTTTTGAATAGAGAGAGAAATGGAAAAAAGTGAAGGTGATTTTCAAGAAATATCTAATAAAGAGAAACAAGAAGGTAGTGTTTGTTTGAATGTTTCTATGGATGAGAGATTTAGTAGTTGGGTGGTTGTGTGGTATTGGTTTGAGTCGTGAAGTGATAGATGAGTACTGGAATGCAGATCTATCTAGTTGATGAATCTTAAATAGGACGAAACCAGTGTCCTGGATTTCATTACTAGTCACTTACTATCTATGTACAGAATGCTTGTGAATTAAGGTGATATCGATGCAATCCTTATAGGATGCACATATGTTAATGAGATATTGATAAATTGCAGCCCTTAACAACAACGAGAAGATTGAGGTAAAATATTGCCAAGTGAATTTAAACAAATTCCCCTTGCACAAGCATGTGGCTTTCAGAACACAGGAGCTAAGTGGATAACACAAACGATACAATGTTCGAATCCCATAGTGAACATCAATTCGGAGATGATGTTATACCCAACTAACGAGTTGCAAATAGGATGAAACACGTGTCAAACTGGATTCCTCTACTAGCAACTATCCATCTCTGCCTATATAAGCATTTAGCTTGTAAAGAAGAATAAACTGTAGTGAATTTGTCTCATTTGAGAAGTTTTAGAATTGTCCAGGTGAAAAGAATGTAAAATAATACGGAGCGAATAATGGAAATGTAACACATCAACTCATCTAAAGTTCTCTTAGTTAATCAAACGATGTTTGTCTTACCTTAATTCAAATTTATACAGAATAATTGAGCAGTATCCAATGATGTGTTTACCCAATCTTTAGCGTAGAGTAAATACGACTAAAGGTTTGAGCAACTAGATATCAAGAGGATTACAGTGAAATATTATGTCGTTGGAAATAGTCATTCTTAAATCTATATGACGTTTGAATATCTAGGTGGTTACGTCATTGACTATAATGCTGGATGACTCTGGTCCGAATCATCAAAGGAATATCAATACCCTAAATATTATAGATATATCTTACTGATGGATGTTAAATAAAATGAAATCTAATTTCATAGTTTACGGAGCAAGTATTCATCGTATACTCCATACTTTCAACATTCCAGTTTGTTATATAATTTACTCTCATGAAGTGAATTAGTCAATGTTAACAATTCCGAATTTCCTATGCGAACAGATTAGGTCAAATGAAATCCATTTAATTGACTTAATGACTATTAGAACACGTATGATTGAGGAAGTTCGATTCGTTCAATTAAATATGGAATGATTATGAGTTACTGTTGATTATTATTATTATTATTATACAGTTTGATACAACCCTTAGAATCATCATACACTTCATTTATACAGTTTAATATTAGGTAATTAATTCATGTTTATTAGGTAATAATGGTAGTATTATGAATAATAAGTACAAGTTCGGGTGACTGTGGACGAATGAACGTGGCCAGACATTCCACTTCCAATGGCGGCTACATAATACTTATATCTAAAAACGTAAGTATCATACACCATACAACTAGTGTTTCTGTACTATTGTAAACAAAAAGTGGATGTGCACTGTTGAGGAGCCTCATAGTAGGACGAAACGGCCATCCAGCACTTCCATGTTTTCCATGTTGGTGTAGCTTCAATTGACTCATGATCTCAACTATTAAAACGGTTTCTTATCAAAGCATTTTTTAAAAGCATTTTTCTGGTTTCAGAATAATTTAAGGAATAGTCTAGTCATCATAACACAAAATTGGATATTAACATATAAGTTAGTGTGTCTATTTCTCCTATCGGTCAATAATCAATTGTTTATGGTAATAGAAAGGATGACTTTGACATAGGATCATGTTATAGTATTTGATGTTCCCTGTAACACTCAAACCCAGTACTGTTCGCAGGTATATTCATCCGATGAGTCCCGAATAGGACGAAACATGTTTCTCGAACTTTACTGCTAGCCACTTTTCATCTTTGCTTATTCATCTTGTTTGTTCTCACTGACTGGTTTAATATTTTCTCATAACATCGTTTTAGCGTCCTGATGGGACAGTAAGCATAGGTAATTGATAAGCCAGTCTTGCATTACGAACATCGGAACATGTATATTGTTATCAAGTAGTCACCTTATATGAGTATAAATGTACTGTGAAAATTGTTTGTCGACAATTGATAATGAAGTATTAATATTGTTTTTATTCTTTGAATAACTGAGTGGAATATGGATCATAACTGAATCAGACGGTTGGATACAATAACACTTTTGTACTGAAACCAATTATATGTTATCAACTAATAACATTCCAGTTTGTGTGAAGAGAATTTTTATAGATTCGAATAACTCACCGACTGTATTCATGAATGATTAATTCTACATCAGGGTAGATACTAATAAAGACTAGAAAGCGTTAGATGAACGTAGCAATATAATATAGGATTGTTTATGAATAGCTGATCGTATTCCCTCCATGATACCTTAATATTCTATTTGTTTGACGAATAAAAATTTATCAATATAGGGTTGTGGAGATTATTAAGTCGTTGATTGAGATCCTGAATCGATTGATGTTTGACCACCAATGATAGCCGTTTCGTCATATGGTGGAAATCCTCACTATTGCTCAGGGTTTGATCACAAGATCTACGGTGTCTTTCGTATTTATCATTCCTACTAATTTCATTAGTTTATTCTGTATCTATCTCGTTGCCATAACAACAACTTCATAGAAAAGGAAATTCTTTTTCATTTTTACATTATTTTCTAACTAAAAACCTACCCTGGTAATATTGACTTATTATCCAGAGTGATTAGTTTTCAAATTGTATTCACATTATTATTATTATTATTATTATTATTATTATTATTATTATTATTATTATTATTATTATTATTATTATTATTATTATCCTTATCACCTCTTACCCCGTTTCCTGTCTAGTTGACCTTTTATTTTTATATATA